GCCGCCCCCCCCCCCCCCCCCCCCCCCCCCCCCTTGCCCCGAAGGCCTGTGGGAAGACAGGGCATGGCACTCACCTCATGATGAAGTCGAACTCAGAGCCGGCGAGCATGAGGACGCCGAGCAGGGTGGAGATGCCGCCGTCCAGCACGGGTGCGAAGACGTGCTCCAGCGCCAGCGCCGAGCGCCGGTCCCGGCTACCCACGGCCGTCAGGAAGCCCTGGGATACGGCGCAGCGTCAGCTTGGTCCAGCTGGCACCTGGGGTCCGGCACGGGTACTGGGGGGGAGGGGGCGCTGGCCTGGGGACACTCACCAGTGCGACGTGGACGGTGAACTCGACGCCGATGCCCACGGAGGCGATGAGGATGACGACAGGCACGGCGCTCAGCTTGATGCCCATCAGCCCCATCAGCCCAAAGAGCTCCACTGTCATCATGGCCAGCACCAGCACCTGCTGCCACGTGCTGGGTCAGGGGGTCCGCCGGGCACGCACCCCCCGACGCCCATGCCTGCCATGGCCCCCCACCACCTCCCTGCACCCCGGGGCTGCCCCCGTTGGATGCCCCTATGGACATATAGACCCTCCCCAGCACCCGGGAGACGTACAGCCAAGGCCCGTTGTATAGCCAAAACTCACGATGACGCCGGCCGTCCAGGGGTTGAGCAGCAGCAGGGCGCACACCAGGAAGGTGCAGGCCAGCGCGATGCTGAGCGCCAGAAGCAGCCAGCGCCGCAGGCCCAGGTACTGCTCCCAGAAGAGGAAGGGGTCGCCGCTGGGGTAGCTGCGCACGCCATGGCGCCGCGCCGCTTCCTCGCACACAGCCCGCACGCCTTCGATGGCCTCCACGAAGTCGGCTGTGTGCCGCAGCCCGCTCAGGTAGAAGGGCACCTGCGCGAACTCCAGGGGCTGCGCCGCTGGGACTGCAGGGGCACAGGGTGGGGGTCAGGCCAGGCCGGACCTGGCCCGTCCTCTTTGGCCACAGCCAGGTGCAGGCCCCTGGCGCAGGCGTGGCAGGCAAGGCAGGAGGTTGGTGGGCTATGAGTCAGGAGTAAGGGGCACTGGCTGGGCTGGGGGCTGTGGGTGGGGAGTGAGGGGCCCCAGCGGGACGGAGGATGGGGCGGCACAGGGCACTCACTGCGCAGGTTCTCGCCGGTGGCGTCGTACTTGTCGTGCACCCACTCGGGCGGAGGCGGGTAGAAGTTGGCCTGCGAGGCTGCCAGCCCCAGCGGGTCGTTGCTGGCCCAGACCGTCAGGCTGATGTAGAAGGTGTCGGGTGGCACCAGCCCATCCACGTCCACCAGGCGCCGTGTTGTCAGCTGTGGGCACCGGCCCTGTCACCATCCACCCCTGGCCCCGCCCTCAGCCCCGCCCCTATGGCTCCGCCCAAGCCCCACCCCCCATGGCTCCGCTTCCAGCCCCACCTCGTCGTA